TAATTTTTACGTTTACTTGCAAAGTTATTATCCATCGTAATGTTAAATGGGGTTGCTTCAGAATTGCTTTTGTTGGAAAATACAGAACTTTGAGAAACGATGGGGCTGTATACTACGGAGGCTTAATGTCTTAAATTCTGAGAATCTTTCTCGAAGGCACTGCAATATGTGGCGGCGATTTATAGCCGTGTGATATATATGCCAGCGAGACTGTACTTCGTTTCGCAAAGTTCGCGTAGAAGAAGCGCCAGAATTAGTTTCAGACGAGGTACCACCTCGATTTCCATTACTAATCCCCGTTAATTTCCATTACTAACCCGGCATAATTAAGCAGTCTACGAGACTTTCCCTTTCCACCGCTTCCGCCGGATGGTCGCGTCGCTGTATAACAACTTTTTAACTTCGAAACGAAAACATCTCGCTGATTAATGTATTTTCAGAAAGTAGCTTCTCAGATCTCTGAATTCTCCGTATAAAGATGGACAGAATTTTTTAAAATACCAGATTTTTCTCTTAACATTTGAATTTATCAACTAATTTTACTAGACATTTTGAATTTTTTTCTCATTAAATTATTAAGATCTTTTAGTTATTAAAATCTGAATGTGATTAATTATATAACGTATCCTTGCAAAGTGAAAGCGACAATGGAAATCAATAATTGAAATCGATAGAAATAAATATTGCAATATTGAAGATTAATTCTTAAGCATGTTCTTTAATATTCAAAAACGGAATTCTGATAGCATAATTGCCAGTCTATAGTAATTCTTGAATGGGATGTAATTAAAGTTAATTGCGGTGCCAAAAGTTCGTGCTCGCTCACCGGGAAACCTTTCGAAGCCGGAATGTGATTTCAATGAAACTCGCAGCAGCGGGGGCATTTCGTCGGGCAGACGCGGGCGATTTGTAATGATTGTTAAATAATAATCGCAAATTTCGATACAAAGGCGTGACAGAGAAATTCGCATTTTGATGGATCAAGTTTTTGGTCGTATTAGCGCGCACATTGTGCGGAATTACACGTGGGAATTGATTCGTTAAATCTATACTCCGTGTAATGATCAGCGCGGCGTGAAATTAGCGCGGGATCGTAATTAAATTAATAACTGGATTACGCCGGGTTGATCCTATAATTATCGTTTACACGCGATAAGGTTTAAAAGCCCGCTCCAGGAAATCGATGTAATGTGTTGCGATCCCGTTGGGGAGGCGATCTGTAATTAATATTCAATTACCTTTAACATATTGCAAGATTAGACACTCATTCTGCCCTTAATTTTACATTCTTCCCTTTCGATAAACACATAAACAAGATCAAATTGGATATGCAAAATTTCTAAAGTTAAATATTTTTTTCTCTCTTGTTACAATTTATATATTGTTACGAATATCAATAATTAATCAATCATTAATACATTTACATGTTAAATTGTATAATACATTAATTTTTATATTACTAAATCGTTTATAATTAATAGTTGCAGCTTTTTGCAATTATTTAAAAAATTCTATTAAAAAATTAATATATAGGTCAGTAGTAAAACCCTTTAAAAAAATTATATACACAAAAATTATAAAAGAATTTTGAGATAAAAAAAGAATTCACTGGTACGTTTTACATTCAAAATAAATATTAAAAGTCGAATATGCGCATAATATTCCGCGTAAATTTGTGTGTATCACATCTGAAAATGCGTTTTATTTTATTTTTTTACCTGTTTCGGAAATTTACTGTCGCTGAATCGTGCGACAACGATAACGTCGCGCGATGCAAAGATCGCTTGATACTTGAATGGGAAAACATACGCGGTAGGCTTTTGCCATTCAATATCGAAATAGAATTTAGTGTGTAACGGAAAAGGATGGAAAAGGGGATAGAAGGAGGCGATAACATGCGGGAATCGCTCTTCAACCCCCGATAAATCATCTCCCCGCCATGTTTAATGCAGCTTTTTCAATTGTCCTCGGGGTCACGTATTCACCTGTAAGTCCTTCAGCTACCGATTTACGATGTGCAGGTGCAACCAATATCCATTTCAATGCAGCACATGAAATTTTTTGTATCACATATTTATAATCATAATTAAAATAGAATAAAAAAATAATGAAATGTTGACATAACAGAAGATTAATTATATTAATAGATTTATAAGAATAACAATTTGAGACCGTATAATTACAATTAATATTAGAGAGATTTTAATTATCACGGATCATACTTTGAAATGTCTGAATCTAAATCAACTTTTCGGGACGCCAATCAGGGTAACTAGGATTAAACCAAAATCTTTTTTGGAAGTCAGTGTGTAGAAAATAATGTCGCAAAAGCGCAATGGCAGACCAATGAGTGGGATGAAGAGGATTGCGCGAATTCCGCGGCTGCAAAGCGATTTATGGGAAACGAACGCGGGCTATAAAATAACACTTCCCATTCAAATCGGCAAATTAATGGTCGCTTTCGTGGATTCTTTGTTTGGGCCGCGCGACAATGGCGGCGCTTGCTGAGTTATTATCCTGGAATACTACAAAATTTTAGGAACGCCGAAATTTTCGCAAATTTTCGCTCATTTTGGCAGATAATTTTCTAACCGCGAGGATTCCGGCGACCCACGCGCGTCGAAACGACAGATTCTTCCGTTGCTACGTCCGAAAATGAATTGATGTTATACTTTTGGAGTATCCGGCCCCCGGAGTAGCAAAGATTGATCGGCTTGTCTAGGCTCCGAAACTATTATCTAGTTTAGATACTTAAGTCCGCGCGGAAAGTTACTCCCCGCGAGCTTTAATCTCTCTAAGCACGAGGTGATTATAAAGTTTCTTATTAAGTTCCTGTGTAGCACCACCACACGCGTACTACACTCGAGCCGCCATTGCAATACACAGGTGAAAAACTTTGCCAGCACCTCAGCTATATGTAACTCTCAACAAGGAGAAGAAAATGCGAAAGTGCCCGCCATAGTATTAGAAGATGTTTCGTACTCTACGTGAAACGTTATATAGGAAAGAAGGAGGCACATTTACATTTAAACGCTGAAACAGGTTTGGACAGTTTAAATATCGTTTCTCACGGTAAAGTTCTCTCTGTTACGTATTCTGTATTGTGCTTCATTTTCATCTACTTTGTAATTATTTTCATTTTTTATTGCATTTTATTTAAACTTTTATTTCATTTTATTTATGCCATTTTACTTTAACTCTGTTGGATTTCATAAACTATAGACCAGGTATAGGCTATTAAATACCGACGTTATAATTATTACTCTATTTTTAAATTATCTATAGTTTATCCTTCGATTCTTTCATCAAGAATCACAAAATACTATAATTACATCTTTTATAAAAAAAGAACCTACAACATGTAACATATATATATATATATATATATATATAGGTATATATATATATATATATCATGTTGACATCAATATGCTCTTTCTACATGCTCCGCTTTCGTATTTATCCGCGACATTAAAGAGTCTCGTGCGAGCTTGATTTTCCGTATCGGGATTAATACACTCGCGGAAAATATGGCGAGAGCTTTCATCGTCGAGGAACGTCGAATGAAAGGTAGACGAAGAATCGACGCGGATTTCTTCGGCTACCGTCCGTTATGCAGAAGAAACGAGAAAAGACTGCGCACAAAAGAGCTCGCCATCTTTGAGCCTCTTTCCGAGGGATCGCAAGATAATTGGCTGATTTAACGAGATCGCATTCACGATGCAGGGATCCGTGCCGCGGTAAAAAAAGCGCGTATTCTTCTTACGGCGTGGTGACTTTTGTTAGGAAATGCACGCGATTATCTCAAAATATCATCAACCATTTTACGTCGCAATTTAATTGTAAAAAAAGTAAATCTAACATCTCTCTCTCTCTCTTTCTCTCTCTCTCTCCTCTCTAAGAATTTTGAAATTTAATTTAATCAAAAATCTTTCAATCTTTCAATTTCTTTCCATTTTACGTTAACTGCGGGGGAAAGGGAAATTGTTAATTCCCATTCGCGATATCTTTGTTTCCACAAGTTGCAAATTTAGCTTGGATGTGATACTTTATACAAAACGGTACTTTATTCATCGCGCGCTTAAAAACGCAATTACATCTTATATTCTCAAATTACGTTGATTCGTGGGAAAGAGGAGGTTCGTTAACTTCCGCCGGAAGCGGTACGATATCGCCGCTTTCACGGTCACAAAGCATGGCGCTTGGATACGACACTTTGCGCAAAATGGACGTCCATCGCGTATTGTAATTGAACGGAAGTAGTATTTTACCGATGCGTTTGCTAAAGGCGAATGAGATGCAAAACGGGGTCGGCGAACTGCAACTTGACTCAATAGCAAACGCTCCGTGTAACTATTGTGTTGATTACAAGTTTACATGGGAAATAAAAAAGAGATCGTTATATCACGTGCTACGATTTGTACAGGTAAATTGGATATCTGGAAAATAAACTGCGCCCAATGCGGGATTATCTGTCCATGGATGGACGCGTTTATCGAATCCCTTTCCGCGGAAAATTGTGTACTGATAATAGAACTTTATCCCTCAAATCCTTTTGCGTTTGATTTCCGTTTCGAACTGAAATGTAATCTACAGCTTGATTACTAGTTAGATGCGTATCAAAGGGGATTGCTTTAAAGCAAATGAATTCTAGTGTGTTCCATGTTTTTGTTTAATTTTTTGTTTAATAATGAATGTACAATTAACGAATGAAGAAATGTTTTCATTAAAATGTTACAGAGAATAGAATAATTAGTATTGCAAATTTAGATTATAATATGTGTTATTTACAAATTTTATTATATTTTTTAAAATTAGATTTTGTAGCGCTAATGTTTTTTTAAACTTAGATTTTATTGATTAAAAAATTTTATTATGTTCCAAAATAATTATCTAATTATTTTTAATTTTAAATTGTTTTAATTGATCCTATTTACTTTGTACGGTTTTCTTCAATAATCCTTTCGCTTCAGTATAAAAAATGAAAAAGCAGAAGTTACCTTGAACCGGTGCGTAAATGTTGAGGTACAGGCAATCCTCGCTTTGGTTCTTGAGGTAGGGCAGTAGCCGCTTGAGGTATTCTACCCTGCCCTTAGGCATCTTATCGCTGAGCTCAGGTAGCTTCTGGGGACAGACGGGTCCGAACTTGTCGGCGATCTTAACGCCGTGCCAAAGGGCACCGCTGACGGGCGGCATGAAACGCAATGAACCGATCGGCGGCGAGGCATAGGGTACGCCGCGGAATACCTCGACTCCTTCGAGGTATCGATCGAGAGTAACGATCACGCCCGACAGCTCGCCGTACTTAGTCCTGACAATCCTCGAGCTCAGCTCGGCACCGGCGGTCAGGATCAAGCCGAGCAGCGCCAGGATCGACGACGTCATCTTGACGCGATCACCGACGTCTTCGGCGACACCTCCTGCTTCAGCGTCACCACCGCCGATCACTTTTTCGCCGTTCCGACGCCTCTCATACCGCTTTCCTCGTCTCGCGCCGCGACCGTTCCCTCCTTAACCGCCGCTGGAGGTGCGGATGTACGCGAATTGATCCATCTCGCGATTCTCAGAAGCTCGTCCGCCTCCTGAATACATCAGTCTCCTTCGCGAAGGGCAGTTCGATGACTGTTTCACTTTACTTGACTCGATCAATGTATTTGAGACGCTCTCGGCCGGAAATAAGAGTTAGTGGTAAAGTTTGTTGCTATCTTTTGATAACCCTTTAGCTCAGTCTAAAGAGCATGGTCTCAATTCTATTTTGGTTTCTTGTTTAGAGAATTCTAGAACAGAACTATTGTCTTTAATTAGATATTCCTGAGCTTAAACGATGCATGCAGAAAACTGATGAGAATCAAGTGGATTTTCCATAATTCTTCCGATTTGTTAATCTTGAAAGATTGCGGTGATCTTTTGTACTACATTTTTTCATCCGAAATGATTCAGCAAAAGAAATAATTGAGAATTGTCTTTGACTATCTACTTTGATGCAATTGACCTAGGGAAGACTGCAGATTAATAGATTGGGAAACATCCTTCTTCCTAGGAGTCGCAGAGATTGTGTTTGTTCTGTATTAGATTTTTTTCAGTCATATATTTAATTAGATATTTAAGTGTTGAAGAAATTCAGATATATTTGGTCGATGCATTGACGAGGACCAGCATATTCTCCTTATAAACACCATCGTTATAGTTTAGACTTAATTATTATCAGCTCCACCCTATCAAGTTGCAAGTTCTAACAATCTCCGGATTCACTGTCTCGTTATCTCGCTGAACAGTAGAGATTTTCTATATGTGAGAGAGATCGTCATAAATTTACCGATGGACGTCCAGTGAGAACAGTGAGTCAACTAAATACACTTAATTATACACTGACGGAAGGGGTAACTTTACACTTTTCCACGATAGACTATAATATTTAGATTGTAACTTCCGGTTGACAGGATCTTCTCACGACAATCCACGATAGCATAACCTGTCGTCTTTTGATGATTCTCCGCTCCTCACTCACGTCCGCTGGATATAAAAGGGATTCACACGTATCTTAACGTTCACACAAAGACGATCTCGTTTCTGATGGCGTGCTTAATGTATCGAAAGAGATAGAATGCACCGGCTTTAATCACGTTCAGGAGCAGGCCGCTTTTCGAATATTTACTCACTCGTTTCATCTTGACAAGAAAAAGCAGGAGAGTACAGGAGAGAAATAACTTCTCAATCTCTCGTTCAAGATTTCTTTGGACGGATCAAAGATAACGAGAATCGCATCTGGTTCTCATCTCGTGATTCATCGAACTAATCTCTCGATCGAATCAAATTGAACATTTATTGACGTAATTTTTCAGCAAATGATTTTTTCTTCAAAGCTGATTCGATGAAAAACATTTCTGCGGGTGAAGGAACTGACGTTGATTTTCAATTATCGAGGAAAGCAAAATGTAACACGCGAAATTAGTATTTAGATTAAAAAATTTTAGATTTCCTTCGTAATCGATAAATGCGGAATTGAAAATCCATTATTTTGCCTCAGCCTTGTTTGACGTTTAAAGAGATATGCACAAAGACACGCGCACCGTTATAGTTGTGAAATAAAAGAAGCATCCACAGTAAGCTTTACTCGTCGCGTTCAAGAAGTACGTCACTATATATATTTAAAACCTTTCAGTATCTCTTTGGTATGAAATACAAATCTTCCGAGGGATGTGACGCTATTCTTGCCGAGTCAACAGCTTCAATTTTCAATTAACCTAGTTAGATTTAAATCGCACTATTGATCAACAGCTAATTTCCCGCAGGTTTCTAGACAGACACTTGTAGACAGAAACAAATTTAGGATTATCTTTGATTACTCCATTAAATTTGCACTTTCCCGACTGATCACTGAGTGATGAGCTCCGATCATCGGCACAACACTACGATTACGACAGTCGCGCGCGGTCATCGTCCCTTCCTCGCGACGAGTCAAGCACTATCGTACGGCATTCCTTTTGCACATAGCTTTACGACGTACATCCACTGCCTCCCCTCTCTACCCTCCCGGCGACCCGCGCCGGCACCCCGTTCCGAAGTATTTCTTTAAACTTTGCCGAGTCGGGGAAATCGTTTCCCGATAAGACCAGATTTATCGGATGCGCCAAAGTAATTTCAAGTTTCGTCGAATTGCGCCGGACAGTCGGACGTCTCCCGCTCGCTAGAAGCAACTACTATCCCCCTCGGCACACAACTAAACCCCCGAAGCTAACGAAAGAGCCGCACCGAAAAATCCGAGTGAAAGGTGGTAGTGGGATCGGGCCAAAAGCGAAACGGTCACCCCCGCGTTTCTTCCCACGTCAAACTACCCCGGTCGCAGCAAACTACCACCCTCCCTGGCACTGCACCGCGTTGACGTCGACCCTGGTCGATGCACCGCGACGAATCTCGCGTGACGTGATCAGGGGTGGGCACGGTGTTACCGCGAAAGGGTGAGAGCGCCGCTGGGACGCCGTGGTATGCGACGAAAACCAACCGAACCGATGTAGCCGACACTTCGACCCCCGACAGACTGGCGTCAGGCGACGACGTTCAGCAACGGCTGCGCATGCCCCGCGCAAACGCTCCGGACTCTTGGTACAGGACATGGGCGGAAGTGCACCCCGGCGTGGTCGATACGGCAGGAGGGATCGATCCTCGAACCGACCGGCGGCGAGAGTTGTTGGTTCGAATCCGGGATTGCGAAAATGCCGTCCAGTCGTGCTTTTGCCTACGCCGATCACTCTTATTTCAACTACCTACCTCTCTTCTTTTCGGGCTATCCATCACTATCGGCTTCTCTCATAGTCGCGTTTAGTGGAGGCCAGCACGTTTCGGTGATTATGTCAATAACCGTTGTACGCCAATATAAACGTATATCAATCATTTTTTCTGACCGTTTCTTTATGATTCGTAATTACCTCCCTCACTAATTTATTATTACCTTTTCCAATCCTTATACACAATTATTGATTTACGTTTAGAATACGTACATATTATTGTATTGTACGTGTCACTCTTTTAATTCGATTCAAAATTATTTCTTTTGTCTGAATGTTTCGTTTTTCCATTCTTTTCTCCAATAACTTGAACTTTATCATTATTATACTTGTAAGAATTTTCTATTTATAACTGTAAAGATATTTTAAGATCACTACATTTCTACTGCAGGAAATATAATGTTTTCTTATTTTTTTACAGTCAATTAGTTAGATTGTTAATTTTTCTTATCGTGCTTTTAACAGCATACAAATTTCTTAATTTTAATAATTTATATACTTTTATTAATTTTTAATAATTCTTTTTAAATATAATGCAGTATGTGATACACATTTTAAGTGGATTCAATAAATATATTTATAACATTTTTTAATTTCACGCATACATAATTTAATACATAAAACGATCTCATCAGTCTATCATTATCATTTTAACCAAATATAGCGAAGCTCATTTATTATATTAATTGATAATTTCTATTACTTTATTAATTACGTAACGGACATTATCGTGTTAAATTGATTACCGTGGAATATTTTATTCTCTATGATTACCCAAAGCAATTTTTATAATAATTTGAAAAAATAGCGCATATAAATGACTTTATTAACTTTAAAATAAACTCGGTTTGAGAAATTAATTAACTTGCAAAAAAAATACATGAACCAATGAGTTTGTTAGTTCTGTAAATCTCAACAAATTAGTGATTACTAAATCAATGCAGAATGTAAATGTCAGTCGATAAATAACGATACAATTAATTAGCGGGATTTATTTGACAAGCTCGCTTGCGCGCATAAATCGTGCAATTTTGCAGCTCGCAGCAAGGAATTCGCGGATGGACATTGGAAAATCTAGGTTGAAATAAAGGAACTTTTTAACGAGAATTTCCGGAAACTGGGCGCAGCTGCGCAAAGAGTTTCCCCTCACGAAATTCCACTTCGTTTCTGCATTCAACATCCTGCCTTCGCACTTTACCGCGTAGTTATGCTCGTTAACAAACTCTTTTCTAACGCTGAAGCTATACGAATTATCTCCCGCTAAATTATTTCTCTGTTCCGGAAAATCGCACGATCGAGTGAATCTTTTACAGTGTCGTTCTATAAAAGCGCGGCATTATATTCCTTAGTTCCTGTCGGGTCATTCCATAGTGTCCTATTTAATATTACATCTTTATTTTACATATTGCTTTTCTACCTCATTATTATAATTTACATTAAGAATTGTAATGTTTTTATTTTCTGGCTAAGAAAGGTACAATTTCCTGAAAACTTTCCCATGGTAAAAAAATCGGAAACAACTTTCTAGCTAAGGCAGATACGAAGAATAATTGGACGGAGAAGTGGCTAAGGATAAGCCTGGGGAGTGGGAGTGGTTAAATATTTGCAAAGTCAACGCGAGGGGCGCTGTGCCACCTCTCGAAGGGGTGGAAATTGGCCGCCTCCGGCCACAAAGACGCCAAGCGGAAATCCGCGCCGAGAACGTCTTCTCGTTTGCGACACAAGGATGCAGCCTTTCCAGGACTTCGTCCGTATGAGAGTTCAAGGATGCCGTGTTGAAATTACAAGCACGCACCAATCTAAAATTCTAAAGATGCAAAGGCTTTGAGAACTAATCTAACAGAATAATCATACAAAATTATTTATTAGCAAAGGAGTGAAAAGATTTAGAAATTTAGATTCTTTTAATTGCAGCATGAAGATTTCAGGAATTTTAATACTTCTAAAAAATTAAAAAAAATAATAGAGCATCAGAAAGCCAATTAATTCTAAAATCTATAAGTAATCAGTTCTAAAAAATAGATAAAAATAAAATAAATAAAGAGATAGACCTAAACGGTATGTTAGATTGGTCAAGAAAGAAAATTGATCTTATTGTTAATATTTGTTAACGTACTTGCAGATATTCTGATAACTGAAACGTGTTGTAACCAAGTTTAATCAGTTTTGCAACAAATCTTTTAAGAGTTTTAAAAGTCTTCTACAATTAAAACTCCCAACAAGTCAATTTGTTTAGCAAGAGTCTGAAAAGGAGACTGTCTTTGTCAAGGGGATGTTTTTTTTTATTTATCGATCCCGAAGGACGATATTAATCATGAAACACTGGTGTTCTGGCATGACATTGGAATCGCTCGACCGACGGCGAATATGACCGAGATTTTCTGCAATAAAATAAAAAGCGAGACGTGCGAGGGAAGGGGAAAATGACATCTCTTAGCGTGGCGCGGCGTGAGGGTCTTTTGGATAGGACTCGGAGACAAGGGTCGCGTAGCCGACAGGGTGTGACGCGAGAAATTCGTGCCCGGACTGCTGAGCTACGAATTCAAATCCAAGAAATCGATGCCGCTTTTCGTGCGGTGGAACGGCGAATCCTGGGAGCGCGTCAGTGACTATGAAAGTCGGAACCCTGCAAGGACGAGTGTTCCGACTATGCAATTCCGCTCCCTGAGACGTTATACATAAATTTGAGGATCGGTGAAAGCGTGAGTTTGAAGCTACAACCAAACTGAGGTAACCAAAGAGGACAGACTGCAGGATACAGTGTTGATTACAGTAACTTTTTTTTTATAGCAGTTATTGAATAAATAAAAAATGGCAATCGTATAAAGACAGTAATGATAACTCTTTAAAATTAAAAGAAGATGATTAATAAGTTTAATGCACGTTGATAAATTCTTTTATTTAATGTACCAACTACGTTTGACGTTTGGCAATCAATAAGAACCATCAACGTTTGTCCCTGCATAGAAAGAGAAATTTCATTTTGTCGCGCAGCGTAATCCGAGGTCGGAGGAATTTGAGGACGGAAGGATACGATACCACACGGATGGAACTTCAATCCTGGGCTGGGTTCGAAATTTCAGAACAAAGAGCATTTACACGACCGTCGAGCAACGAGTGCTGTTACTCTTACGGAATTTTATTTGTTCGTCGCGATTTTTAAATAAAACAAGTACCGCGTAAATAAGTAAAACGAGCGCGCCGCGCATTATTATTCACGAAATTGCTGTACCTATATATAGATGCAATCCAAAACGCGGTATTATGCATTGCGCTGCATGCGTTATGGAATCCGGGGAAAACGCGCGTTTTATTATTTCGCGCTTTTTATAGTGCTTCTCACGCGCGAAATTCTTTCGCTGGTAAATTGAGCAAATTGCACTTTTATGAAATTCTTTCCTCGAAATTTTGGTATAGATTCTCAAAGATTACATTTCACCGTGTTCTTGCTCTTGAAAAACACGGTCGGAAATCTATTTTATTTTACGCATAACTTTTAATTTTCCCAGATCGATTTTATCTGTTTTTTTTTTAATTTTACTTGGAGGATGCCTTCCAGACTTTCGTGTAAGATTTCTTTTGGCAAAAAAAGTGTTTATACTTATATTCTTGTATACAGCGGTTATATAATAACAACTGTACGCTTATCATTTCTAACAGGAGCATTTAATGTTCTGCGCGAAAAATCGTTAATTTTGCAGCTGCAACTGCGGCGGAACATTTAATTACTCCGCACGCGTCCCACATAAGTTCAACGCTGAAGCGAGGTTGATGACATTAAATTCTATTAAGAGGGCTCCCATTCGTATTTTCCGTGAGCTTAATGCGCATATTCATGACGGTTCATTGCATTGGTAGGTATTAAAAGCGTTAAAACCGTGCACACAAACGGGGAAAGACTGAACTTTTTAACCATTTGACAATTGCATTTTACTTCAAAGATTTTTTACAAACATCATATTTATTGTTTGAACTTTGGATTCACACATTTATACGTGACACCTCTGTATAAAACTTATTTATAATGTAAAAATTTGGAGTTTTGTATACGTTACACATTAATTATTTTATTACTACATTACATACATATAAATAGAAATTTTTCTAAAGTAAATAAACATGTGGTAATTGAAGAGATTTGCAAATTTATAAATTTACAATCAGATTTGACAAAAATAAAAACTGACATCACTGTAATGCAAACCTTTGAAATACTGTATTAAAAAATTTGAAAATAAAATGAAAATAAAATTAAAAAATGACCACAGCAAGCATTTTAAATATTAACAATTAGAGCTTCCTCTCTCTCGTTCTTTTTTCCATGTATTCAGACATGAGATGTGCTACAATATTTATATATTAAACTTATTAATATTTTGGAAAATTTCATGAAACAAACCATTATACAATATATCGTGTGTAAAATACGTAAAATTAAAATAATTAACAAAATTGGCTGGTGTATAAAACTATAATTATAAATGCTAACTTCCTTATATTTATATTTTCCAGTTCAATTGTTATAATACTATTTCGAACATGTTTATTGTTAAGCTTGAAACAGATTTTACTGGTTTCATCTTTGTTTTACAATGCTTTTAAAATACATTAACGTAGTTGCAAATGGCATTTATACAATTTTACTTCATTTATATAATTAAACGTATAATTTTATTCTCACATCCTGCAAATGATTTTTCCCAGTCGACCATCCGTGAGAAAATAGACACTGCACATGCAAATGCACATCCGGCGCATCTGGAGCGATTAATTTCACACAGTGTTAATATTTGCAGTAACTTTTTATACAAAAGCAACACCGGACTTTTCGATATTGAATCACGATTGATACGCACCGATTGGCAGCAAACCGAGCGAGCAAGCCAATCGATGCCAAATGGTCGATTTTTCAAGCTGCCAGATTCGATCGATCGGTCCCACCGTCACTTCGAAGAAGATGCGTGCGTGCATTTTACACGTGTCTGCACGTGCCGACACGTGCGTGCCACTCGCACAGGTCCGACTCTATTTAATTACTGGATCGAGCGAGCTTTCACGGCCGTTAAAGGAAATTAATTGCCCCAGCAACGTCCATGCTTCCGGTTTCGACAGCATACATGATGGATCAAGCAGGACGCCAGGTGGAAAAAAATTCTGGTAAAGAAAAAAAAATTCTTTTGCGCGTAGTGGTTGCGTATGATGATTCTCTACTAACATATTGTTATTTATAACAGTTACGTTAACGCTTTGATATTTTTATGTACTTTTGTGAGAAGGGAACAAAATTCTAATAATGCATGAAAAAATATCAAATATAATAAAAGATGTCATTTCAGAGGACATTTTTCCACCAACCATTTCAGATTTTTACTGTTTTGAAGATGTTATTAAGCAATGTCATATCAGATATTATTATCATCCAATGTCATCCAATTTATTTTTATTATTGCGGATCTAATTTTATATCTGCCTCTCGTTCCACGACGCCCCCGCTATTCACTATCTTTGATCTATCCTTGCCTCGTATTTATCGGACTTACTCCGAGAGCCGGGCGGTTGCAAGATTTCCTTCCTCTCGATCTCCCACGGCCAAGTTGTCTGCTGCTACGCTCCTCTTCGAGTTACCGTAAATTGTTCTACTTAGCTAAGGCGAGTAGTGACCCTCCCAGGCGAAGTTTAATTAGCTTTTAAATCCCTGCCGCTCATTATGCCTTCCTTTTTCTTCTCCAAATTGAAGGGACGGGGCTTCTTCTCTCCTATCGGCCAACTTCTCGCGCAAGTAATCGCGCGGAAAGGAAAAAGGAAGCGCGCCTTTTCAGCAAGAAATACAACCGGGTAAAGAATTTCACCGAGAACGAGACACCGAGAACCGATCGGCGACGCTCCGATTTAATTGGCCAGCGATACTTTCACTCACTCGATGCCGAATACGAGTACGAATGGTGCTCGATAAGTATCACTTGCTGTCTGTGATAATTAAACAAGAACTTTACACTGACAAAGAAGTGAAGATTGGTACCGATAATTAATTCTTAGATTCTTGTACATTCTTACATTCTCGCATTTCTCACTTTCACAAATTTCTCTCGTTTGATCTTTTGTCATGTATAGACTTTTAGTTTCTTGAATTTCCTTCAAAGATTCTTGATTTTCCAGATTAAGCTCTATTCAAGTCCTTTCTTTAACAAAGCGAGTAAAGTTTAGAGAAAACTGTTGACCCCGTTCCTTTCATTAGTTTTTTTTTACTTGGCGCTATCTTTCAAATATCGATAGCTATTGAAAGCAAAATAATGCAGTCTCGAAAAATAATTAAGTATTGAGTTTGCTAAGATTGCTGGTGGCGTTTAATACGAGAGAAAAACATTCTTGCTAGGCTTTCGCTAGTCATTTCCGGCGACATGTAGCGCGCCCTTAGCGTCCACCTTTTGATTTATCACAACGCAGGACCGCCCGCGAGGTAGGCAGCCGTGTCGGAAGGCTCCTCTATACGGTGGCGATGATAAATCTCGGGCACTCTCGGCTACAGGCGCCGCCGCTAAATCTGCGCGAATCACGCAGTGTGCGGCCGGTATCGCTGTAATAAATCGCGCTTCGATCGCAAAACCGTCTTGTAATACACGTACGCGCGCGAGAAAAAGGATCCAGAAATGGTAAAATTTATCCTCTAATTCCCAGGGGAATTAAATCCCCGAGGATTGAAGCGCTCGAGAAGAGAATGGTGTACATATAAAATCAACAACCGAGTTGGAAAGACTCAACAATTTCGAAAATGACAATCGGAAAGAGAATCTCTCTCTGTGTGTGGGTATTTTAAAATTAATAAAATATTGAAAATTGTAATTCAAGAGTTATACGCTCATTAAAGAACGGTAAATGCAAATGGAAATGACAGTATCGGTAATAACAGGTGTAATTTAAAAAAATTGCGTGGTATCTGAAATTCTCTCTCGACAAGGGAAGCCGTGTCGTTACAAGCCGATGTACCAACGTATCGCCATAGATTTCAACCAATAACCGTTTTGCCGTAGAGAATTCCGCCATATCCACGGGAAGCAGCCAGTTTTATGTTCGAATGACTTCCCGTTCCCGGTAAAAGAGATAGAACATAAATGAACCTCTACTTCTGCAAATACTATAACGTCGCTGCGTATATTTATAACACGCATTTCCAGCAAAAAATTACCTATTCTCCACAAACTTATACTTTTTTCCTGCTTTTTTTGCGCGAAAAGAATAAACAAAAGTTAAACAAAAATTAAATAAATATAAAATATATATATAATAATACACATAATTATAATAATTATATTGTATATACGTTAATAGAACAAACATAATTACTAAATTTAAATTGAAAGCAATAAAGATAATAAGAATGCTTCGAGGGGGAAAAAAAGGATATAACATTTCGTCGTTTTGGCATAATCCCGCGGCGAAAACATCGCCTCGTGGTGCATTATGGAACGGCGAATATGGCGAAGATCCTTATGATCCTTCTTGCTATCAACTTGGCCGGCAAAATAAGTACGCCTGAGATTCGGCTTATTCTGAATAATATATCAAACTTATGAAGCGGCTTTGAGGGCGACGTCGCGGCAAATCCTCATATTATAAAGTAGAAAGACGAACGGATAAAATTGCATTTTGGCGGCCCATGTGTCTGAACGATTACACATATTTCGATGGAATATCCGATAATCCACAAACGAGGATTTCATGTGACACACGTGCGGAATGGAAGAGAATACGAGCGAGAGAGAAAGAGAGAGGGAGAGAGAGAGAGAGAAAACGACGAAACAAATTATGCTTCAATAAGTGTAGAAAAAAAATGTTTGGTCTTGCGTAGAATCACAAAGACTACAAGATCTAAAAATTCAAAGCATCGCACATCTTTTTTCTCTTTCTTTTTTTTCTCTTTTCCAAAGTTTCTAAACTTTAAAGAGCTAAACTTCCAGTTATAAAATCCATCTAGGCAATGTACCTAGACAGCATCTACCCTTTCCTCATCCTCTTTGTGTCTGGGAGATGAGCTAAGTTCATTAACGTAAATGAGATGATTCTGAAGAGGAGCTACTCATCGCAGAACCAGCCACCCGCGCGCCCGGAGGGGATCGCCTCAAAGCCTTCTTATCGTAGATTTAACACGTCGTTACGTCCTGTGAATACGCTGTGAATACATGTGCGTAGACGCGAAGCAGATAATTCTGATACAAAACTAATTTTGCGAACCCCTTACGCGCATTAAGCTCACCGGCGACTTCCTCCGAGTCTCGCATTCATCCCAGGGCACCTCGAATTATGCATTAAAGTAGATTTATTCAGTTTCAAAGCTAGTTACAATTTAAATTTCTAAAAAATAGTCCAACTGAACTGAAGTTAAATATAAGTTCGATTAAAATTACACTGCAACCGTACTCGAACGCGAACCAAATCAAATTTCACTATTTTGAATTTAACATAAACTAATAATTTATTTAAAAATTAATTTTACTACCGGTAACATAGATACTTTAACATTTAATGAAATTAGGGAATAAAGAAATTGTTACTTTTTTTAAATTAACTTTTAATTTAAAAATCTCAGAAACTTGCTAAAATCTTTTATCGCCAAATTAATCTCATGTATGCATATAATTCCAGGTTTACTGTTTTTTTTTACATAAAAAATTCATCAAAAGATTGACGCGTACAAAATCGCGATTATTTGTCACTTTGTGCCCGAGGTCATATCCCTCAAACTGCTGAAGATGAAAGTTCATGCTTTTCGCGATTCGCGTTCTTGCGGATCAACGAGCAAACAAGCATCCGGAGTACAAGTATCCTTCTTCCTCGATGCATCTCCACTTCTAGACAGCTGTCGTGCATATACGGACGCGCATATACGGACAGATTTCAAACAACGAGCACGATTTTGACGAAAACGAAAGTTCCGCTTGAAATTCGCCTCGCCTTGGCGGCGCTTCGTTCGAAGATTCATCGGTGATCTAATTTTAGAAGCGCTTTTCGCGTGCGCGCCGGCTCAGTCCACTCGCAAGATTCGTCGTGACAAAACGAGTTTACAACATGTGCTTTCGAAAAAGAAAGAACATGAGTGTGTTTGATTATCCAACAATCGTCGACGTCGGACCTTAATTTTTGTGATATTTTTAACAGTCTAATTTTCGATAATATGACTGGAACAATGTTGTTGGAATATGAAGTGTAATTACTGCAACTAAATTTATTATATTGTTATCAAAAGAGATACACGTGAATATGTGAAAGGAAGTGAAATTTATTGCCGCTGTGCTAGAAATCTTTTGTTAGCCATGCGAAAAGAGGTAAAAAAATCAGTCTTGGACTATTTTGCGACGCGAGAACCTCTAAAAATAGAAATTGTTACAACGCAACAGCGCAACAATTTGTCGCAATTTTAGATACATTTTTTTGTCGAGGGAAAACTTTTTACAAAATTCGTCAAATAGAATTTTTTTTCCAAACGAGAGATACAATAGTGATATGATAACGGAGCGCGTGATAACGTGGCCGGGATTTTCTCACCTCTCGAAATATCTATCATAAACATCGACGAAAGTAAAAAGAAGTATTAATGATGGATGCGGTGAATTCCTATAAGCTTATCCGCCACAAGCGGTCGGCAAAATAGGATTTGCCGCAATAATCGCTTACGCTCGCTCATTCAATCCTTAATCCCTTAACAACGCCAGAAAATATAAAAATTTGTCAAAAATATTTTGTTTTTTTACCCCATTATTGTGGAATATAAATAAAGTCGATTTTGCTAAAAAAATATACAAATTAAAAATCTAATTTAAAGTTAAATAAACATAACATAAAATATTATTCGTATTGATAATATTTGGTACACTGCCATACATAATAAATGTATATGTTGTGTAATTTCGGTTCATATTAATATTTGTGGTGCATTTAGTTTGAGGGTAATATTGCAAACACAAAAAATATTTATTCTATAATAAATGTTTTTCTATTTGACGGGCGTATAAATAGGAAAATAAAAAGTAACATTCACGCATGCAGTAGCAACATATCGAGCGCATCAACCGTTATTGTGAGTTCCCATCCTGAGAAGTGCTCGTCGATGCGGAAATGTACAATTCGGCTCTGCTCGTCGAGGAGGCTCCAGTTGTCATCGTCAACGTTAAAAATAACGCGCTCTGAGGGCTTTTTACAAGTGTGAAACTTCTCGCAAAAATTTCGAGGAAACTCCGATAATATCTTTTCCTTTACTCTGCTCTCAGAATTATGTGCTGTCACGTACACACGATTTCCATTTTATTTAATAGATTTTCTATTAAATAAAATGTGGCCATAGTGTTAAAACAATAGATTTTCATTATTAAAAACAATTTACGTTCTATCACAAAAAACTCTTTTAAAATTTTAGAAATGTTTATAATTATGTTTAAATAAAAAGAATATTATACAATTTTTATTGAATATTTTTGTAACAATATTATTTATTAAAGAAATTGTTAGAATATCAAAATAAAATAGTTTTTCTTAACTCTGGAAATTTATAGTGAAAATATTACGTTAAAAGGGGATTCAAAAAACTTGGGAACTGGTGTTGCAGACTACACCAGCTTGACAGGTAGAACTGATATGGTCTGAAAATCGTGTGGCGTGTTCAAGTCTTCAAAAGTTTGCCCACCGTAAACGTCACAAATATCGGATTTAGTTGCTCTCTCTCTCTCTCTCTCTCTCTCTCTCCATCTCTTGCGTTTTCCCTGGTTAGTTTCGAACTCGACGTCATTTATCCGACGTAAATTACGAGACGCTCGCGTATATCGCAAAACTGCGAGCAAACTATTATCGCGATACTGGGAAATGAGCACTTTGCCCGTCACGCGATCGAATTTTGCGCGAACGCGACTTGTCGCTCCCACGTTAACGTGCGACTCGCTGCTTTATGAAGTTTTTACGCCATCCTTTCATGCTTTCCTCCTCTCCTCCCCCATGTAAAGATATCGCGATGTCCTTTACGTGTAGAATTTTTCCTTACGACATCATAAAATATTCCGAATAGAAACATTTCTACGAAATATGTATCGCGAAGAACTGAAGCGTCGAGTTAAGAAAAAGTTTTTTTTGGGAAATCATTTTATATACATTGTTTTCAACCACAAATTCTCGGCTGCGTTCGTTTAATAATTTCGACGTGCCGTGCGGTTGGAGTTTTTGACGGGTATAACGTTGCGAGTTGAAAGATCTAAACGCGGCGACGCGCGGCGATGTCCTCCAGAGGTGATATTCTTGGCGGGACAAACAAGGGTGAATGCACGTACGAGGAGAGAGCGACGGTTCGCGCGACTGCACGTACTCTTCGCCCCAAATAGAACGCGCCTGTTGGTAAACTCCGCGCGCTCTCCCGTGCCTTTCGATCGCCATCACGCGCGCCAGCTCGTTTTCCCTCGGTGCGCCGTGCGATACCCTTCGCTTAAATACAAGCCAAGGAATGCGTGTCTACTAAAACAGTCACGAGACATTTCAAATAAGATAATTGAAAATACCATCGCTCTCTCTCTCCACGCAAGCCCGTGAATATGGATACATTGAACTTCAATCTTTTCAAGATTTTAATAGAATCATATGATAACTATTTAAATGTCAAATCAAATTTTCATTAAACATTTATTGTAGTTTTTAGAACGCGTTTTTAGAATCTATCTTAAATCTACCATATCTTAAACCTACATTCTAAATCTGATTTCAAAAAATTAATCACGACAAGAAAAAATTTGATTCAAACGCAGCGAACAGAATTATACGTTAATCATGTCAAATATGTAGCACACGTTTATTTGATGGACAAGTCCCGTCCGATTGGAAATGATTCGAAAATACAGACGCAGATATCATGTTGAAGTTTGCAATAAATTTCAATTCGAATAAAAATAAAGTGACAACTCGAAAATTAATCAATAGTTACAAAAATGTGAACTCCATATGTGTAAAAAAAGTAACTCCTCGATCCGCGCGTGAGGCAGCGGAAGCTACGAAGTGAAAAGTTCCAACGACAGCCGCGAAAGAGCAGTCGTTCCCTTCGCATCCGGTTCTGACGGCAGCCGGAAAAATTATTTTTACTTCAATCGCGAGTGTGTGTGTGCTTCGTCGCAGTTGTCGCCGCGTGTTGTGCTTCGAACTTACTATTGTGAGCTTCTTAAAGATTACATTCTGCAATATTTTTCTACGACTTCTCAGTGGTGATTTTGTCTGTATACGTCACAAGACTTTGAGGCACAGCGCGGTATTTTTCTCACAAAAAAAAAACGATTACCTAAGTTCCCATAAATTACAATAAATTTGACTTGTGATTAATTTGGACGGAGTGCTTTATTCTCGTGAATATTAAATTGTTATCGCAAAATGGAATTTTAAGATTTAATTAAACTGCTTTAATAATAGCATTAATAAATTTGGTGATAATTTTTGGAGCATTAAACTTGATGCGTTGTGGAATCAACAAACGCGAGGCAGATGTCCAAAATGTTGCGAATAGAGTTGGTGGGGCTTCTGCTGTTGGCCTGCACGCAAATTCTCACGGAGCATCGTAACTTCTTTTATGAATCAGGAGATCAATACCACTACTATCAACGATTTTATGGCCTCCAGGAAGATGTAAGAGAAGTTAACCTGACGAAATATGGCCTATTACGTGGCATGGTGATCCGACCCTATTTAAAAACCAATCATATGTTGCAGCGAGTTGACGTCTTTCTTGGTAAGTTTTAGAATGCTATTACGTTTAATATAAAGAATTATCATAATTATTATAATATAAAAAATTATTTATATGTTCGAATAGTAGAGTCAAACACATGAAAGAGAGAAGGACGATTCATTGTTCCGTAAGAATCTTTATCTCTCCATGCAAAGAATTTCAGTATTCGAAATCCTTTCTGTTGCGCGACATTTAATGCTAGAAATTCACGTTGATCTCATCTTTGAAGAAAGGACGCACAGAAAGCAGCTGAAACCACTTGTATCGATACATTTAATTCGATCGAGACGCTAAGCTGGTTGACGCAAAGCCGTCTCGTTTCGTATGCAACGACCTATTACAACGGTATCTCGATAACGTTCGATACTCCGAGGAAACTCGGGCACGGTCAGTGAGCAAAAGTTTCCTGGCAGCTGCATATCCGCGCTTTGAGAGTCCCGATACGTCAAAGGATCCAAAACGAGGAGTGCGCGCGCGCGTCCGTGTATTTCGGGAACAGATATTACTGCCGTCACCGCACATCTCTCTCCCCTTCTGACTTTCTCCGTCTTTGCTCAACTCCGCGCGCGCTGCGCGTCCGTCAACTTGCACTGCCACGCGCGTCGAATTGCATCCGCGTGTGCATCACTTCGTGTACCCAAAGCCGACTATACAAACCGAGCTCCTTCTCGATGTTCACCCATATACATGTCAGTCACTTTTTGTTTAAGATCTGTTAAGATAACTAACCTTGTAAAGATAATTGTATGAATTAAAAAGAATCAATGGGAGGAGAGGGGAAAAGAGAGAGAGAGAGAGAGAGAAAGAGAGAGAGAGAAATCGATTACGAAATTTGAATAAATTTAAAGCCAGAATCGGGGTCAAATAGAATTTTAATCGGAATTGATGTTTAATTGCGTTAAATAAAATTAAATTGGAATTTAATTATAATTCAATTTCACAACTGATATTCAGAGACGATATTCAGCTTAATTAGAAACGAAGTTAGCAGCGTGACGTGAATGGAATCCTTTTTTCAAAAATACGTTTAACGCTCCAATAACAATCCGGCGAATAGCTTCTTCAAACACATTTGTCCTGTAATAGAAATGTCAGTTACTGTATTAGTTTAGTATTACACCATAAATCTAAGAACCAGGATAATGTGCAGTGTGCAAGGCAGTCTCCTCCCCTGTGTTTTAGGAGTTCCTTACGCGGAGCCTCCCGTGGGATCTTGGAGATTTTCTCCGCCTCGCTCACCGCAACCGTGGGGGAAGCGGGAGTCGCAGGAATTCGCTCCAGTTTGCCCGCAAGTCTTGCCAAATCTTGGAGAGGAAGTAAATCCGGACAGGTACGAGTATCTGGAGAGGCTCTTGCCTTATCTGAGGAACCAGAGCGAGGACTGTCTGTACCTCAACATCTACGCTCCTCATCAGACCGAAGGTGAGTGCGAATGGTTACGGGAAGTAGGAGTTGTATTGCTGCGCGAAAGTTGTCGGCATTGATACCGATTCGAAACTAGATCCAATCTATAAGGTCCGGATACGTCAAGAAGCAACTTAAACTCATCCATTTCTGACGTACGATTGAATTGAAGGAACCTAAGATCTCGCGATTTAGCCAACTTTTCCTAATTTTAACTTAGACTATTTTGAGCTGGAAGAAATAATCCAGAAGACGTTCACCTTAATTTAATAACCGTTTCTAATATAGCTTATATTAAAGTCAAGCGTTAAGTTTGTCTTAAATTACGAACGAATATTCTCGGCTTTAATAATTTAAATGTAAAGGAAAAATTGGAGAAAAATTTCTATTTACATCATTCATCGTGAGAGTACAGAATTTAAAAGCAAATAAACGAAGTAGTTTATACTCTGTACATAATTTAACGCGATGATCCTCGTATATTTGAAGCCCAGACGAACCGCGCGCGGAATAATTCTTCGACAGAATGATGAAAGCATCTGGCATTGAATTGAAACTTTCCTCGGATTTTCCTGGCTAACAGCAAACGAAACATGAAATATCCAACTTGCGAGGAAAAAAGTAGAGGGATCGGGATCGACCGTCCCGTCTCGCGCGGGCTCGCGATTATGCGGGTGCATTCGGCTCTGCAACGAGCTTTTCCGCACGGTCAACTGCGTAAAACAGCTGCCATCGATTTACGGGGTTGGCGTCACGGTGGAAGGAACGGTCACGTTGGGCTCGGTTTTCGCGTGCGTGTTATAAATTCATTCGCCACGTCCGTATATATTCATTCCGTCGCCCGGTCTCGCTCGCTCGCTCGCTCACTCGGTCGCCCCTTCCGTCAATGTGCGCGTATTCACCGTTTTACAATATTGTTGTCGACCCTACGAGTGGGTTAAAACTCGCGTCGCCGTGCCCATTTACGAGCGTATGGAAATATCTGCAAGAATTCCAAATCGAATTGACCGGCGGGGGCTTTCGGCGTGGCCTGCTACGGGGAGTATCACTCGCAAAAACCGCACCATCGCGCCACGTCAACCCGTTTGTTTCACGCCGCGATACGTACGCCATGAGCCGAAAATTTTTTTTTCTATTGCATTTCCGTGACGGAATATGATTTCGAATCAAATCATCCCATCTTTCGCAATCATTGTAGAATTTTCCCACGTTTCATGTGGATTATTGAAACCATTATAAAGACTTAGGTACGGTAAAAAATTGATATTACTGATGAAGTTGATATTATTGATTTTTTTCTCGTAAGGTAAATAGCTTCTATATTCGTTTAACAAGTAATGAAGGAGAAAAGAGCCAAATTGGCCGAGGTTAAATGTTGACGGTCCAACATTCTCAATTTTAAATTTTAGCTATCGTAAACTTCTTTTAATTCAAATATTTTAAGTTAACAGGAAAGATTTGCATGGTTAAATCGCGTTCTTAGATCTCTCACGTTTTCAATTCAACTTTTGTGTTGAAATTGTTTTAGATACAATCTCCGATCCGTATAATCCGATACGATATAATTCGCTTATAAACTAACTTGTGCGAGAATGTGACATATCTTCTCCATCCATGTCCTCCTTTTAATGTGGAAATAGGTTAATCTTTTTATCACTGTTTGAAGAGCACTTCTTATCTCTTCAGATAAACACGATAAGCAGCATTGGATTTTCTCAACGTTTTCTCGGTAGGCATTAACCCCTTAAAGCAAGCTCTGGATATCAAGGACACCCGCAATTACTGCAATTGCGGTATTCTCTCGCTGTCTCTCGCAAAATTAAGATTGCGAATCAACACTGCAAAAAATAAAAGGATATAGATTTATAATATAAACTTGATATTACAGCGTTCTAAAGTCCTCGAAACTTTATGAATGCTTCGTATTTTGATGGATTAAAATCTATTAGTTTCGCAATACTTTTTTCATTTTTCTATCTGAAATTAAAGAAAATATTCACAGTGTTAATTACATTTTCTAGCACAGAATAGTTCAAACAATGTGACACGTTAGAGTCATCAGGTTTCCTCTCTCAGAGAGCGACGCGAAAATTTTCGTCGGAAAATTCGGTGGATGTTTTAATTTTGTTTCTATTTCAACCAGCTTAATTCATTAACGAATGCATTAAGGGAGAAGCCGCGAACACGGAATTACTATTACGCGTCGCGGAATTACCATCCTGCGAAAGATATGTCGGATTTGGGATAAAACGTGCGTTGATGACTACCCACCTCGGTTGGAACTCTGCTTTCGGGGTTGAGTGAAGCCGGAGAGGAAAACGTGCACACGAGTGGCACTCGAGAAAGTCGCCAGAGCCAACACGGTGCCTTTGTACCGCCTTGTCGTTCTACGGTTCCAACGAGACCAATTTCTCTTCCATCGTGCTTTATCCAAGAAAGGAAAGAGCATGGAAGGGTGGGAGGAGGCAGAAGAGCTCACGTACTTGCAGCACTTTCGGCTTAGTGCCCCATCAAAATACCTACAATTATATCGACGATGCATTCATATACACATACTTCACTCCCGAATGTGAAGTGATTCTCGCTTGTTAATTTCACCTAAGCCAACCTCTAACGACATGCTATTCATGAACTTTATCACGTTATTAGGCTAAAATTAAGCTGTTTTATTGTACATTTTATTGTACTATCGTTGAGATAAAAAAAGAAAACGAAAGCAATTGGTCAATTTGTTTGGTATAAAGTACTAAATTTTTCTTGATTTTATTAAGTACGTAAATTATTGAGATGACTTAAATTAAAAACTGACATAACTATATAAATAATGAAAAGCTAAATGAGAGTTTTGTATAGCTATTTCTTCACATATTCACACATTTTTGTAAGCATGGAATATCGCTTGGGACGCGTAAGTAAACGTAAAAATTATTTATTCCGCGAACGCTATATGAATTTGCGTTTCGAGGGAGCGAATCCTTAGAAGGAATTCTTATGATGTCTCTTTGAATGCAAATTAATGGATGGCAAATAACTTCTGAAATCCTCTGAAATGATGAGTAATGTTTAATTCCTTTTAGAGTTGCTCTTTCCGTCTAGATATACATCCCGACGTAAGATCAAGTGTCGATTGAACTCAATGGCGAATTTACTATTCTCTGTTTCGTCATGTAAAGATAATCCTTGATCCTTCAAACTCTTGCTTCCCTGCGATTCCGATCCTCTTTGGATTGTCTGCTCGCAGATTCGAATCTGAATATCGAGGTGAGAAAGCTAGCATTTGAGATTCTCCTTACGGTCGGCGCATATTCGGTACGTCGCCATATTGCTTCCCTCCGCCTCTGTAAATCTCGCCCTCCGGCGAGATTTATTCGACTGTGCACCGTAGATCGAGCATTAATGAATTTTCCGATATTTTACAGCGCCGCAGGGGTTACGATCGCTGAAAGCCAATCCCCTTCCCTCCTGCTTCGTATTTTTCGCCTTCATTCTCATCTGCTTTCTCACACTCAAATGCATATACTTTTTCCGTCCCCCCCCCTCTCTCTTTCTCTCTCTCTTTCTCTCTCTCATGTATATCCATGAGCAGCAGATTCCTTAAAAATAAAGGAGAGAAAGCGTAGTTCATATTATTGAACTTTAGTACATAAACCGTCATAATGCTATAAACTAATTGTAGAAAAGAATATACAAAATTCTTCTCTATCGTATGTAAATAAAATTCAATCCAGTAACTCTCTTCAGTAAACTCTTCAACTAACTTTTTGTTTCCAAATCGGCCATTTCTTTCATTAGTTATTTGTAATGATATTTATTCACAATTTTAAATTATAACGTTATGTAATCAAAGAAATAATATATGTCGAATCGTATAATGATTATTGGGAATATTTACTGTCCACCTCACAGATATCATTTATTTATTCTTGGAAAAAAATATTTCAACATTTACATACTCTCGTGAAATTTTCAATATTTAAACGAGTGAATATATCTTATACGTGGAGCAACCCGCGACCGGACGGTTCCGATTTATTCGCAGTCTCGGCACATCTTTCATCGCCCGACCGCGGCTTTTCGCGCATGTTCGCCAGCCGAAATGCGCCGGGAATAAGTTTTGTTTACCAACCGCGCCGCGAGCGGTTTCAAATTAAAACGTCGGAGCCGGGCCGCGTGGGGCCGATTTTTCCACCTCTCGTGGTGAAGGTACCATAAATCCGGGATAACGGTGGCCCCTCGATGACGCCGCTCTCGGCGTTTATGAAGGCGGAGAGGAGGGAAAATAAATGAGGGATGATTAGCATCGTACAAAGTCATGAGCGTTGAATATTTTGTCATAAATTAATCAAAGTTGAAATTATTAAAATTGAAAATTATATATAAATAGGTACTTGTGTCCTTAATCCTTAACATATAATCTTATATACATGTATCAATTTGTTGATAATATTTGTTATTCTATTTACAGTAAAAAAAAGTAAAAGAATAACTCTAAAGCAGATTAACTTCATAACTTCTATTATTACACCTTTTACTATTGTATCTTCTATTATTTATTAAAATCAAATATTTGAAATTTTATGAGAATCACGCGTATTAAAAATATTTTGTAAATCTAAAGATCCAAGATATTTAGTTTCAGTGATCGAGAATTCGCGTAGCTGAGGTTCCAAAATGTAAGAAGCCTGCAGAATTTCAAGCTCACCGAAAGCATCTAACAAAAGATGGCAGGAGCTCTTAATCGGTTGAAAGGAGTCGGTGACCGCTTACACAGCACGGTTTCCTTTAAAACTTTCTAGTTGGATTTTCTTTTTTTTCGTAAAACTTCGGTGAAAGAGAGATGCTATCAGCGAAATGAAACACGTTAAGCTCATTTTATCATCCTGTTTAGCTTCAATGACGATAGACATTCTTTGATGCTCTTATCATTTTTATCGATATTACCATCGAAGTTTCAAAGACTGATTGATAAAAAAAATTTGTCAGTACATCGTCGCCTCATTAGGGTAAAACTTCGATAA